ATATTTGCATGCCAGTCCAACACTCAAACCACTATGCCATGTTGGCTTTCAGTGACACCACAGCTAACATTTCTTAGTACTTAGATCTTGTAACACCTTTGAGATACTGGAGATTATCGCACACTCTTTATCCCATCTTTTCCCCGACCGGATATACGCACATTTGATTGTCAATAACAAATCTTACAGTATTCTCCTGTGGTCAGGCATATGCAACCTGGGCTTATCCTGTGGCTTTTCAAGGACAGTATTTTCCCCTTCTTGAAAAGTCGTAGGATAAGCCAGGGTTGCATACGGGCTGCATATGCCCGGCCACAGGAGAATGCGCTAAGGTCTGTTATTGACAGTTAAACACGTTCGTATCTCATTGGAGAAAAGACGGGATAAAGTGCATATGATAATCTCCTAACTGATAGAAAGACGTTGGCAGCATAAGCTTTCATAGACTTAAGTCTACTTTCTCAGATGCATTTACACTTAGAAGTAGACTGATGTCTATGAAAACTCATGCTGCCAACTTCTTTCTTTCAGTTACTCTCAAAGGTGCTACAAGATCTCTCTACATACTGATTCCACAGACTAACACAGCTATATCTTAGATTTCTTAGTACTGTGCAGAAGGGGACACTGGTAAATCACTCTTGAATGTTTTTTATCATGAAAAACCTATGATGAGACAATGCAAAATGAAACTGTACGTACTGCTGACTCCCAGGTCAGAAATCACTCAACAAGTTACTGGGGAACAGTAGAGCACAAGCATAACTAGCACTGTGTCTAATGAGAAAACTAGACACAAGCTGAAAGGATATTTAGCTGTTGATGATGTGCTCAGAGGTGAAAAGAAAGTCCAGATTTATGTAACATTAGAAACACATAATGTGAGAAGTATGAATCAGAGAAAGCTGTTGTTGTTGTTGTGCCTTTGAATTGTTTCTGACTTATGGTGAACCTATCATCGGGATTTCTTGGCATGTTTCGTCAGAGGGAGTTTGCCATTGCCATCCTCTGAGGCTGAGAGAGTGTGACTCTCCCAACATCAGCCAGTGGGTTTCCATGGCTGAATGTGGATTCAAACCCTGCTCTCCAGCATCACAGATTAATGTTAAACCACTATACCACATTGGCTCTCAAAAACTAGACACTGGACATTATCAGATGGGGGGAAACTGGGGAAGAAAAAGGCATACTCCTAGCAAAGTCATGAAATTGTGCTGAAGATTGTCAGATGATGGTGTGTTTATCCAGAAGTTAACCCATGAAAATCCAGGAATGCTCCAGCAACAAGCCATTCATGAGAAGTCCCGGGAATGGTTTGTTGCTGGAGCATTCCTGGATCTCCAGGGGTTAAGTCCTGGATAAGTTTCTGAAAGTTTTCAGCATGATTGCATGACTTTTCTGAGAGTATGCCTTTTTCTCCTGGGTTTTCCCCTGTCTGATAATCTCCAAAGAAGAAATGGTTGGCATAAATTACAAATACTTGCTTCACCTGGGGCTCATTCCCACTACAAAATAACCCAGTGTGGAAACTGGGTTATTTTGGTGATCGAATCTCTCTGTGGCCATTTACTCCTCTTTTGTCATTCACACTGATGGTGGGGCGGAAGAGGAAGAACGGCTGCCACGGAGAGATGATAATGACAGGAGGAGGGGAGGAAGAGGAGAAAAGAAAAGGCAAATTCCTTCTGAACAAACCTTGCCAAGAAAACCCCACGAGAGGTGAGCCCTAAGTTGGAAATGACTTGAAGGCACACAACAACAACAACAACACAACATGGCAGGAAGGCTTGGGCCCTGGCGGCTCCTCCACCACCTCCTCCTGTTGGGGTGCCCTCTGGTGTACCCCTCGCCTTGCTGCTGCTTGCCGAAACCCTCTGGGGGACCCTCTCCTTCCATGGCAGAAGCAGTGGCAGCACTCCATCTCCCTCTCCTCCTTCATTTTGGCCACAGAGGTCACAGCAGGAAAGGAAAAGGAGGAGGAGGAAGGCGGTAGGGATGGAAAGAGGGAAGGGAGAGAGGGGCCAGGAAGAGAATGCTTACCCAGAGAGACCCCCGGAGAAGTTGGTGAGGCCGAGCCAGCTCCTCCGAGGCAGCTGCTGGGTTAGAGAGGTCCCACACCCAGCTCGCTCCCTCCGGGCCGCTGTCCACCACGACCAGGGGCTGCTGTGGTGGCTTTTTTGCGCTGCGCCAGGAGGGCATCCTGATGCCGTCCATTATGTGGACAGGTGCATGGTGTCAGGACGGTGTGGAAGTGGAGTTGAGGTGACTGGGATGCGGTTCCCCATGCCGAGGCCAGCCCTTTGTGCCAATCTGCATTAGCCCTAAGTTGGCAATAGCCAGCCAGAGGACTTTTTCTTCAGCCACCCCAAGACTGTGGAATGACCTGCCAGAAGAGATCTGACAGCTGAATGTACTGTCCAAATTTAAAAGAAGATTAAAGACCAGTCTCTTCTGGCAGGCATATCCAGATGATTTAAAATTGTGCATTAAGATATTGAATTTTAAATGCAGACTGTTTTAAAATGTTAATGTCTTATATAATAATAATAATAATAATAATAATAATAATAATTGAATTTTAAATGCAGACTGTTTTAAAATGTTAATGTCTTATTTGTCCTTTCAAACTGTTTCATGTTTTAATGAATGTAGTTTAACTGATGCCGTTCATGGTTGGTTTATTGTTGTTTCCTGCCTTGACCCAAGAAGAGAGGCGGGTAAGAAATAACAACAAGTCTTTCAAATAACTTGGATTTGTTCCATGAAAGGCTCTGAAGGTCATAACCAGCATTTTGAATTGTGCTCAGAAACAGATCAGCAGTCAGATCAGTATTGTAAAAAGGGAGGTTGCGTGCTAAAAGAATCCTTAGAGGTTCTTTCATGAAAGAAAGCTCCACTCAATACCAAGTAAGAGGAAAAGAAAAATCTAGCTCAGCTTTGGCTAAAGAAAATGTGTTGAAGGTTAACTATATCCTTTTGAACTTCCATGTTTCTAGTTCTTTATCTATAACTTACTGGAGACAATATGGTAAAGTAGGCATGTATCTACATTGCAGAAATAAAGCAGTTTGAAACTACTTTAAACTCCACGACTCTGTCCTAAAGAATCCTAGGGTTTGTAGTTTGGTGAGCCACCAGAGCTTGCTCACCAAATACCTCACCAAACTACAAATTCCAAGATTCCACAGGATAAGCTAAAGTGGGGTCAAACTGCTCAATCTCTGCAGTGTGCAAGAGCTTTAGGTCTTTCAACAAATGTGGCTAGAATGCCCAAACTGAAATTTTTTTGGGGCGCAAATAATTCCTTTTCTTTCATGTATGACAACCCCAAAGAGAATTTATCATATTTACTGGGCAGAATGACAACTTAAAGAAATGATTGGACTGAAATTGCTCAATGATGAAAAACTCTAAAAGAATTTGTATAGTACAATTGTCTAAACAGAATTTGGACAATGGCCCTAGCAGAAAAACTGACAAGTAAAATGCATGAACGGAGAGTAGCATATGGACAATCTTGAAGAGATACATTTTCTTTGTATTTAATGTATAAATGAAGTAAATGTCAACATCTAAAATTCTGAGATATTTTGGTAGATCCTATGGCTGAAAAGACACAAGGAGCAAGAGAATATGCGTAAAGCCTCAGATCTGTAATTTCTACCATGTAATATGAATAGTTATGCTTCCCAAATTTAATTTCTTTTCTCTTTCTTATTGATACATAATGAAAGCACTCTTCCGACTGCGAATTAACGTTTGTTTTTGTAATGGTTGTTTTCGCCCCATTTTCTGATTTGCTCTTTCTTTGTATGTGTATAATAAAACATTTCAAAAACTAAATTTTAAAAAAGTTTCCCCAAATGAGGCTGTTTCTCTTAAGATATGGAGGCAATAAGCAAACCTGTGGGTGAAAGGAATGACAGATTTATTAGATAGCAGGCACAACTTGCAGATATTAAATAAAGTCAAGTCTACCCAAAGCAAATTGCACTGAGTAACTCATGTTTCTAGTCAGCTGCTGGGAGCTCAGAGAAGCAACAATGGAGACGCTCCAGGCTAACAAAGAGGTACACAACAACAACAGAATTGCTCTGGGAGAACTCATTGCAAAGCAATTCTGTTGTTGTTGTGTACCTCCAAGTCATTTTTGACTTATGGCGACCCTAAGGCAAACCTATCATAGGGTTTTCTTGGCAAGGTTCTTCAGAGGGGGTTTGCCATGGCCATACTCTGAGGCTGAGAGAGTGTGAGTTGCCCAAGCTTACCCAGTGGGTTTGTATGCTCGAGCAGGGAATTGAACCCTGATCTCCAGAGTCATAGTCCCATGCTTCAAACCACCACACCACGAACATGGGTTTTTATAGGCAAACTCCCCTCTGGACTAGGTTTGTGTTTCCACTTTCTGTCTACCTCATTCACACCCTGCTGAACATGTGTTTTGAGAAACAGCCCCTGTGTTTAATTTGTATGTCTAAGCAAATGGATTAATAATTATTCTTCCAAAAACTGATTTATGTTCATGTCTAGTAAGTTAGGGATGCATTTTAACTGGTGGGTGGTAAAAGCTCCTCCCAGCATCGGAAGGCCATGTCAACCTTGTGGTGATGAGAAGCACAGTCAGATAGCAAATTAAATCATAGAATCATAGGGTTGGAAGAGACCACAAGGGTCATTCAGTACAACCCTCTACCATGCAGGAATACACCTTCAAAGCACTCCCGACAGATGGCCATCCAGCCCTGTTTAAAACTTCCCAAAGGTGACAATTCAGACAGTGAGGAGGTGGCAGATTACCAGGAATCTGCAGCTCCTGACAACTGTGCTCTGTCTGAAGAACTGGGGATTGAGGCAGAGGGGAAGAGCTGAAGATCAATTGCCATCATCCATCAAGCGACAACAGGACAGGGAAAGATGGCACTGCTCCCAAAGATTATTAAGGAGCTGTACAGATGGCCCCTAAGAG